AGGTCGCCCTCGTTCCCCTGCCCAGGGACCCAGACGTTCATACCCCAGAGACCGGTAACGATGTTCATGGGGAGTACAATGGTACCCAAGACGGTGAGTCTCCCGAGCACGTCAGCCGTCTGCTCCTGTCGCTCGTTCATGCGTATGTTGATTTGCGCTAGGTAGTTGGCATGAGATCGTGCTAGGATTCTAAGTTGAATAATTGTTAGTGTTTTGGGTTTAAAATTTGCTAGAAAGTAGTAACTAGTGGAGAAGCAATTGGATTACTAGAGAGACAACTTACTTCTCATAGTGACTCAAGTTCGAAGTCATGGTCACAATATGATCCTGAATGTCACCCAAGTACAGACCGATCTCGGACCGAGGCGCCACCTCCCAATGCTCGTTGCAACGCTTTGCGAAGCTCTTGATGACGTCGGCCTTATTGCCGAGCAGCCTGTAAAGCGACATTACCTTTTTGCGGCAGTCGCCCACACGTCTGAGCATGTCGCGTCCAGATTCGGCCGATGTTGCGTCGCCGGCCTCAGACTTTTCTTTGAGATTATCCGTTGGGAAATTCGGATCGTCTTCTGAGTGCAGTAGCAAAATGGCTTCGTCGATATCGTCAACTTCATCCTCGATGTTGTGAATCAGCGGACCAAAAACATCGGTAATGTCGTCAATAATGGCGTACGATATCCAATCCGATGAGAGAATGAGATAGTCACGCAGCTGACGAATTCGTCGACGCACGTTGGCCGGGTGCGGTGTTTGCGAAAAGTGGAAGCTTAGAACGCCCTCGCGGAACACGACCACGTACATGTTGACGGGCTCCAGAAAATTCTCGCTTGTTGAATCCTGGTCGAATGAACGATAATTAACGAAGTAATAGTGCCGGAAAAGTTCAACTTTTTCGCGGGCTTCTTGCATCATGATATCTTCAGCTGTGAGTGGGTGGATACCAAATGCCTTGGAGATAACCTTCATCTCTTGCTCGGTCGGGCTATAAATATCCAGCCACCACACTGGTCGGTCTCCGTATTTTGGTGGCTTGCTTGTCTTTTCCGTCGGTGGCGACTTGGAACGTTCCGGAGATTTGGTATCTGTTGGCGTGTGCTCTCCCGAGGTACGTTTCGACTCCGTGAATGTTGTTCCGGCGTTCGAGCCACGATCTCTCCGAGCGTCGAAGTAACCTTGGGTAGTGGTAGTAAGCGATGGCTGCCGGCTTGGAATCCTTGGGTCACCGTTCTGGCCTCCCAGAACTTCATCTAGACCGACATGGCGCTGATCCTCTTCGTCATCTTCGTCATCCGAGGAATCTGAAAGGAGTGGTGGATCGGGGATGAAGAGCTGTCTAAAGGAGCCTCCTGGTGGGACCAGTTCTGAAATGGTCTGGCTGTGAATAGTACTCTGGAATTCTTCATTGAAGTATGTGAAGCGATAAGGAGCATCTTCCTGAGCCCGGTACCAGCCACGGTGGACTGGCCTTAGTCGTCCGTTGATCAACTGAGGTTCCGTGATTTTTTTTGCATGGCGCTCCTCACTTCTGCCTTCCTTCTCATACCTGCTCCATTCCTCCAAGATAGCAAGATCCGGCCATTTGCCGCGCCGTCTTCTCTTCATGCGATACGCAGTGGGATCACGAGAGCGAAGATCCTCGTCAGCGATCTCAGAGAGGCCATCCTGGGGAAAGCACACGTCCTCCTCAGCCTGTAATGCGATTGTGTGTCGTCGTTCCAAAGATCCTACCAAGTCGCTCTCTTCATTTAGAGTTCGCCTGCCAGGGGAATTCGGCATGGAGTCGACATCATCCCGCAGCATGATATCGCCGAAGCTCATGCTTAGATCGCGATCGGTTGCGCCCATGGGAGGAGTTCCAGGCACTGATGGAGGATAGTTGACATTATAGCCTTCTGTGCCGGTTGCGCCAAGTGATGTGGCCCGTCTCCTTTTGCTGCTGTCCCTGCTTGATTCAAGACGACTGGCGACTGAATCCCTTCGCGCGGTGTCGTTTGAACCATAACCTGCAAAGCCTTCGCTTCTCTGGAATACGGAACTAGAGAGAAGGGGTGCTCCTTCGTGCTCGTCTTCGCTGTTGTTGCTGCTGGCCACCACTGTTTTAAGCCTGCTCGCGACCTGTGGTGTTGTCAAATGCGAACTTTGCGACACTAACATCGATGGACGTCTAGGTCGTAGGAATGGTTGTTGTTCTCTGTAACCATGATATGGGTAAGCTCCTGCTAAACCCCCGCTAGAAGATGACAGAAACTCACCTATGATCCAAAAGCGCCTCGCTATCAATGCTTGTATTGCTGAAATTGTTTCCGGGCTGCGAATAAAAACCGTTTCTAGCTTCCGCAAGCGCCTTATCATTCATTCTCTCCTGGGCCATATCCTCGGAGGTGACGCCGAAAGAAGTTCTTCTATTCTTCTTCTTCTTCTTGCCCGCTCTATGGTTCTTTCTTCTTCGAGATGGTTGGTTTTGGGGAGGTTGGCCTGCGGATGGCCCCGAATTCGACGCCGAGGCATCGTGCCGTGGGGGATTATTTAGATCCATGACATTGGTCAGCGATTCGCAACTTGGTAGGTGGAGTTGTACGTCCTGGATCTCGTCTTCGATGAACCTGTAGATGACTAGGTGGGTGGCTGGTGGATGATTGTTGGTTGGATCGAATGAATGGGTCCCCTCTGTCCAGTGAAGCTAACAAGACGGACAACCACGTTCCTAATCAATTAGTGGGACAGGCGAATTTAGCTCCGCGCAAGCTGAAATAACAGTCAGGTAAAAACTGTGGTATGGGTTTGAAAGAATGCCAGTTTGTGCCCGGCGGAAAAAGTGTGGTGACCTTGGGACGAAAGAGATGACGTGAGAGAGCCAGAGCCAGCAGGCAGGCGAGCGCGGGTGCTATGGCAACTCGGTTGCGATGCAGTAGGCAGACGGCTTAGCTTGGAAATGTATGGCAGCCGGAGCAACAGATGTTTACTGTTAGATCCACGTCAAACTAAAAGAAGAGGGAAAAAAAAAAAAAAAAAAAAAAAAAGGCTGTGGCACCTCTTGAATCAGGGTAACCAGTGTCTTATCGAAGGCAGTGCGACTTGGTGTGATGATCAATGAAGCCTTACAATCGCACGTTGATGTCGACGTCGAGACCTCGCGCACGACGTACCAGTGCTGCTGTGGATGTTGTATGAAAGAAATTATGTAATAGAGTACCTCTAGGAAGTACCCACCTTGCCTGTATCAGCAACAGCAGATGTGTGGACGCGGCTCTGCGTGAGAAACAGATACGACAGCAGACGAGGACGAAAGTTCTTGAAACATCGGGCTTCGACGAATTGAAACAGTTAATTTTCGGGAGCTAAGTATGGCTGGGCTTCTGTCCTGGTGTCTTCCTTTCTTTCCACTTTCGACTGACCGTGACAGGAAAAAAACTACAACTTCCAATCCGGCCCGGTGATGTCAACCCAAGCAGGGATCCACTGTATCACTGCTGGTCAGGGCAGCGCTGTGTAGCCACAACGCCGAATTCCCAAGATAGTAGCCCAGGTAACGATGGTCAAGTATATGTGGAACGAGGAACGCAGTAAATGCACCTGTAAGCTTTCCACAGGGCACTTCGCTGTTAGTCAGGTTGTCGGGTAGGTCAACCGCTAGCGTACGGCTGTACACTACTGGGTGGTGACCCACAGACACACAACTTCTCCGCTGTGGAGGGTGAAGAACCCTCAAAAAAAGCTTGATCTGGCATCGAGTTCTTTCATGCCATCCATGGTTTCAACTGTGTCCTCACGGACGGGGCGCCTGCCGCCCAACGGTCTGTCAATAACCAGGAAGAATCAATCTATCCTAACTGGCTTGGCGCCTATCTCTTCACGCAACTAGTACTCTACCAGTGGAATTAAGGCTACCTACACATAGGTGGGTGTGAGTGCGGATGCGCCTCCATGTCACCACAACCTTGTGGATTCACGACCCTTGAGAATCCATTGCCGAGGTATCTACCACAGTGATGTATACAGCCCGGTACCGTTGAGAAGCTGTCACACCGACAATCCGTGGAGTTCAAACAACGAACATGATACTCCGCCAAGAATCCATGGATCTCAGTCAACTATACTATCCGTGTGTTTGGATTTATGATCACAAGCAACACATTTCGTGCCATTTCTGTTGTCGCTATCGTCTTGACTTGGTGGAGTCGAAAAGCCTGTGCTTGACCGCCGAAGATACAACATCGAAATCGGAGTGAAATACAAATTCAATGACATCATATCCTGTAGTTCACGTACCGATACCTACGCCCGCGAATAGAATGTCTCCCCTACGAACTCGACTTGTGTGCGGTTGCGCGGTCGGATGAAGACACCACAAGGCTTGAAGTCTATCAAGTGTTAATGTGTACACCGCGGAATCATCGACCTAGTGTATATTGTGTTGCTCGGATGCGATGTTAGATCTTGAAAGTCACCTCAATTGCAGAAACCTATCAAGGCTCCAGCACCGACTAACATTTACATAGCTTACCAGCTACGTATAGCATTGATTTGCAGCTTTCGCCTTGCTTGGTCACCCCAGCTGGAGCATCCTACAAGAAACAAATATATCGGTAATATGAAGGACCATCCCGACTATCTACGCTCAGCAGGGCCTACATGTAGATGGAAATGGGGTGATGTTCTTGAAGTCATACCAAAGCCTAATGCGGGTATGTTCATCACCGGTAGGGTCGATATAGGTATGCTCATCTTGCCTCTTTTAGTATGACAGACTCGTGCCATATCCCCGCTCCCCTGACAAAGTGGATGCGAGGCACGGGTAACCCCTCTTTCAGCTACCTGCGGAGAAGATGAGGAATCGGCGTGGGGTAGAGGTTTAATAAGGTCAAGACTAGATATTGTACAGCTCTGGATGGTATTATAGTACCTTCGGCTTCCCTCCTTCGAACTAAAAGAAGGAACGTTTAAAGTATTCAATACTTGAATCAGTCTGTCTTCGTTACCAAGTATTCAGACCCGTCACCATGTCCTTCCCAAAGCTTATCCCGGCCTTCACGGCTCAGGTATGTACACACTCCTCTTCTAGTTGCTTTGTTGTAGATGATTCAATGGGTGTTCTTTGGGTTGTACTATTCAGGATATCCATCGATATCACTCAACCTCAGAACAAGAATAGCATCATGCTCCCTAGAGGATGTCTCCCAGTCCTTGGCCGATTACACTATTCCAGTTCGATACATACCTAACCACTCCATTTCTTACTTCCAGATCGTGATTGAACCCCCCGCCAACATCGGCACCACTGCTCGCGGCGGCACTATGCTCTTCGTTCCCTTTGTGCCCAACAGTGGGTCTGTCAAGTCGGAAGCCTCGTATCCGATCCAACTGGACGCCGAGTTCGTGCACGGCGCCGATTACGTGCGGATGGACCCGAACGGCGAGAACGTGCGGCTGGAGATCCACAGCGTCGGCAAGGACAAGACGACGGGTGCGCTGTTCCGGTTCAATTACACAGGCACTGTCTCGCTGGCGGGTGCCGCGGGCAAGGTGTTTCGTGGCGAGCCGGACATGGCGACGACAGGCTTTGGTGATGCTTGTAAGTGTGACCTTTTTTCCCTTGCAATGTATTTGTTTCGGGGCTGAACTACGACGTGGATGTTGGATGGTCTGGGTGAAGGACTGGAGAAATGGTTTGATTTGTCACTCTTCGAGAGAAAATGCTGGAGCTTCTTGGTTTGCTGACGAGAGATGAAATGGCTTGTAGTCACCCATCACGTCTTCGAGACCGGAAATGAGAAGCTCTTTCCTCTGCAAAACAAGGTCTTCGTTGGATCTGGCAGGTTCATCATTGAGCCCGGTAAGCCGATTGTTGTCGAGTACAAGATTAGCGAGGTGACTGCCTCCTAAGGAGTGTGGTACAATACAATGAAACATGAGTGAGGGCTATGATGCTAGCCTCGTCAAACAAAGTGCTGTGATGATATTTTATGCGCGATCTTATGGATTTGTAAAATGAAAGATAGAAACTCATCATGATATGTTGTGTATGGTTGGAGTTTGATACCAGGCATCAATATCCACCCTCCTTTCTACGTGACTCAGATCCAGTGGTCTCGAGGTATCTTCGCTATTTGCTATTTATAATTACGAGCCATATGACATCTCATTCACACCTATGTATACCAAATTTTTGGACATGTATAACAGCCGAGTAGCAGTCCATTTCGAAGCAGACAACCAGGCCGGCAAAACCAGCTAGTCACAACTAGCTCGAGGGTGGACCGCCCGCCTTCTGGATAAGAAGATGTCCAACCGAGATATTGGCGATTTCATATGCCTTGCAGCCCTGGGGGAAAGTGCCCAAAGCAGCCCAAAGATCGATAAGCGGCTGCATCGGCTCCAGATCTGTCTTCTTCAACAGGCCGAGCGTGGTGGCCGTCAAGATGAAATGGCTGAAGCAGCTGTTCATGGATTTTTCCAGGTTGAGGCAGAACATGTCGTCAAAGTGTGACCAGTACAGGTGCGCGTAGACGCGGAACATTTGCCGGAAGATGGTCTGACACGTCTCCATGAAATTCTGCGGGAAGCCGCTTCGCTTGCCGATCCAGTCCGGGCCCGACTCGGGCAAGGGGGTGCAGAAGGCCGGGTTGTCAGCGAAGGAGACGCCCGCAGGATCGGTGGGGAACAGGTTGCTGTCGTCAATCTTGCCGCTGATGTAGCGCTGAACGAGGCTGAGGTATTCGTATGCTGGGATTTCCACGGGCTGAAGCCGCGAGTTCAACCAGGTGAAGGAGTGCGAGCTGTGTTGGATGGTCAGTTTACAAAGGAGTCATTGGATGACTGGGATGCAGCTGAGTTGCTAGAAAACTTACGCTCCCGCAGACATCTTGGGACATTTTCGAGAGTTGCAGATCGAGCTGCCATCCTCTTCCCGGTCATGGACGAGTTTGATGAAGGTAATGAGCATCCGCCAGTGGTCCACGACTATAACACGAAGTTAGCGGAGCTACGAATTTCCCGATGATGTTCGACAACCGTATGTACCTTGATGTGCTATCCACTCTCCCATTTCCACCGTCTTAGGCTTAGCACTAAGGGTAAGGAAATTGCCCTTAACGATATGTTTGCCATAATTGCAGTTTAGCCATTGCGGCTTCACTTGGGGTAGATGATATGAAGCAAGGACCTCCTCCGCTGAGGGGATCGAACCATTATTGGGATCCATGCCGATACTTTCAGCGAGAGAAAGCGAGTTCTGGATGGGTGGAAGTTTCACTGAAAGAGTTGGAGATGTATAACCAGGAGATGTCTCGAGTGAGCGTATGGAAGGCAAAGAGTTCTGAGGGTTTTGCTGAGTCGGACTGGTTGGGCTTTTGTGTCCTCTAAACCGAGCGTTTCTAGAATGATGCTGTTAGTTCCTGATTCCGTTGCTTGGTAGAAGAGTGCATTTGTAAATGGTGAGTCGACAATCCGCCGTCAGTGATACATGGCGGATTATTCTCATAGCCGCAGACATATTTGTCAGCTTAGCTGAGTATCCAACCTCCAAGTTGCGGGATACCATGATATGTGGTTAATTTGGTAAAGATTCGTATCGTGGAAGGGAGAGTGAAGGCTAAACCGTTGTATGACCTCCTCTTCAAATTCACCATATAGTGAACATCAAAGTCACCCGCTCAATGGTTGGTTATTTGTTCAGAGAACTTGAAAGCTGCGTTGGGCCATGACAGGCTTGGCATAAAAGGGGTAACGTTACCCATATTACATTGTAAGTGATGTGATAGTCTCATATAGAGAAGCTCACTTCGACCTTCAGCACAAAGCACTTGCGGGTGTCGATGAACAAGGAGGGAGACGATCCTAACCAGGAGGACCTGACATGGGAAATGGATGGGGGGGGAAACAAGGTAGAGAAGCAAAGGGGTTCGTACCTCTAGGCAGTATACGTACAGAGATGCTTGAAGATGTAGGGACGGCGTGGTAGGCAGCTCTGGAGATGCAGGGCTCCAGGTAGAATTGGGAACAAAGATGAAGATATCGAAACCACTCACATTCCAGAAAAGAGGTTGGACATGGTCTCAAATAGCGGACGAGGAGATGTACGGCATCAGCAATTAAGGGACGGGAAGAGGCGAGCAGGAGACAGGCGTGACAGGGCACCTAGACTAGAGTCTTACTAGGGGACGGGACTAGGGAGAGCTAGGGCGGCCAGGAGACTGCTTTCAAGGAGGACCGCACCCCACCGCCATCCACGATGATAGGTGCTAGGGACCGTCTGACTGGGCTCCGAGAGGGGACCTTAAGGTGAACAGCTTAGGTTGGGAACGTCCTCCTGAGTGGTGGTTACGTCCATTGGAGTTTTCGGAGAGACTCGCTGCTCCCAACTTGTTTCTGAATGCCTGCTAGGCTTGCCCCTTCTCACACGTCAACCATCAACCCCATCTCGCAAATGCAACAGGACGGAGCAAGCCGCCACAAATAGGAGGCTCCATGGTGTGAGGGTCTAGAGGGGTCGAAGGGGTATCCTGTCAGGTCGCTAGGGGCATCCGCTGGATTCATGAAGGAGGATTGGATCAATGCTACGGTATATGATTGGGAGAGAGCAACCTCCAAGGGATTGATCCCCGCTATTTCTTGCGCCACAGAAGACCTTCAAGGTTCGCGGCCTCACCCCGCCTTATCGTTATCGCAGCCTCAGCGCGGCCCACTATCAGTGACGCTTAAGCCACACTTGGGGTATTGACTGGACGCTACGGTCCGAGTCAGGTCCTGCTCGCTGCATTCACTGTAGGCCATTGCACCACTCACTGCAACCAGCTAGGAAGGAGGTGTGGACTCGACGCGACCTTCAAGTTTCCCTCAACAAGGTTGTAAGCCGCATCGCGTAAAACCATCAACTACCATCCAACTTCAACCGAAACCGATCAGCATTCGAACATCATCCTTTTTTGCGCATTACCGCCGGCGCATCAGAATATTCCTCGAGCTCGAAGCGCACCCATCACACAACCAAATCGACCAGTTCTCACGCAACATCTTCCCAACCGTCACTCAGAATGTCCGATTCAGAGGATCATATCGACAACGTCCCAGACGATGCTGGCGACGATTTGTTTGGAGACGAAGATGTCAACGACGACCAGCCGCTATCGGAGATTGGCGAGGACAAGCTCAGTGACCGTGACTTGAACTCGGACAGAGAAGATGAGGTCACCGACAGACATCATGACGAAGCTGACGGTATGGAGGATGAGGAACCGGAATTTCGCAGCAAGACCGTTGCAGACACACCGCTTTACCGCCATCGTATCCCCAAGTCCGAAGACGGCAGTGTATGTGCAGTCACCTCGAGATCACGTGTGTGACAACAGAGTTGCTAACGGGATCGCAGCTTTACTCCTTCAAAGTCCCCGACTTCATCAAACTGAACCCGCTCGAGTACAACGCCGACACTTGGGAGCCGAGCAAATGGGATATCCGAAACGCGCGGGCCGAAACACCAATCCCTAGTGTCATGCGCCGCCGTGACCCGAAGACCGGCAAGATGCAGAGCAATACCAACATTTACCGCTGGAGTGATGGATCCGTTACGATGGCGGTTGGTGACGAGCATTACGAGATTCAATCCAAGCCCCTGGCGCCTCCGCCCAACAAGCCCTACCAGGAAGTCCAAGACGCGCACTATTATGCCGCTGCGGCCCACTTGACAACGAACTCGCTTGTAATCATCGGACATTTTACGGAACAGTACATGCTGAGGCCGAACAAGAACATCCAGGATCACGCTCTTGAACGTCTCAAGGCGGAGCTAGCAACCGCTAAGAAGGAACGCGGCCCCGACATGATTATTCTCGCCAAGGAGGACCCAGAGCTGCAGAAGAAGCAGGCAGAGATGGCTGAGAGGGAACGTGCTAAGGCGCAGCGTCGTCGCGAGACCGCTGCCGCCCGCGTGGATGGCGCTGGAGGACGATTTAAGGGCGGTGCACTCTCAATCGGTGATCTGGAAGGCGGAAGACGCGGTAGGAAGCGTGGTGTGCCTGGTGGCGGTAAGAAGAAGAACCGTCGGCCCGAATATGATTCAGATGACGAGCTTCCCGGCGGCGTGCGCAACACCGACAAATACGACCTGGATGACGGCTTCCTTGTCGACAGTGACGAGGAAAGCGAGGAAGTAGAGGATGACGAGGAGGAAGAAGAGCTTCTTGATGACGATGACGAGGAGGAGGAGGCTCCTCGCCGTAAGCGTCAGAGGACGGCGGAGGCAGATGATGAGGACGGTGCCGGCACCACCTCGCATCGCCGTAGACGGGCCATCGTTGACGATGACGACGAGTAGTTAATGAGAACTTCTTGCTTTTCGAGTTTGGGTTCTGAGCATGTTTTATTAGGCGCATTTGGTCATCAGGAAAGTAAAACATTGGGCGTCTTGGTTGGCATATTCTCTGGGGACATAAGTAGGTCCCTGAGTATACAGGCGGGCGGGAACATGGGTATACGGTATGCTTGCATGTCCACATCTCAGCATTAGCTACCGATGTACATATTCTCCATACCTCGACAGCGCTGGATGAACTTACAAGTATTCACAGAAACTACATGTAGTAAGTAAGTAGCTGAGATTATATTGTTCTCGCATGGTGTCTTCAGATGGCGTCTCCACATGCCACGCTCAGCTTGCGCATCAAGTAGGTATCATTGTAGTTGCATTCCTGTGAACCAAAACAAGTGTCCGCCAGACTTGTTCCTCCTCATGAAAGCCATCGCTATATGAAAATGCTGCATTAAAAGTAGTTGGGAGTGCCTGTCCTATAATGCCCCTGCGTACCTGGGAATGCCCCTATTGTGGCGCCTATCATCGTATCGTCCTCGTCCGAGCTAGGATAAAGAGCAGCATCGTCTGACCTCTCTGGTGGTGCGCGCATAGCCTCCAGTGTTGGAGGATCTAGTTGTGGCGGCTGAAAGGGCTTGAGAGTGTGAATCTCTCTACCCATGGGCATCTGTTGGAGTAATGGTCCTGATGGAGGAACGACCTGGGTCATTATCTGCGACAAGAGGCCACGTTGTTAGTCCATAAGACAAGTCAAACGTGGGACATTTGGGAAATGGCCTGAAATGAAATCTCACCGTGTCATTTTGCTTTGACCATTTCTCCCACAGCATTTCATATACTCTTGACTCCTCAAGTCGTCCAGCATCTGCTCCCCAGTCTAGCCCTCTTTCCACCTTTTTGTCCTCTCTCTTTTCTGTCCACTTCTCTTTCAACCTGCCCAAACCTCCGCTCTTCTTACTGCCACCTTCCGAGGGGTTCCTCTCAACTCCTAGCTCCTGAAGTCCCGCATTCAACCAAGCAATCGCCGTCCCAGTTTGCCCACCCAGCTCCGAGTCAATGCCAAAGAACCGACACGCCTTCGCTCTACTTGTGCGCCGCAAGTTATCTAGATACTTCAGAAAGCTCTCGGTTACCTTGGCTCCGCCCTCCGCTCGCGCCAGCCCCGCACACAGCGAGTACGCCTGCGCAGCGTGTTCGCTAGCCGCCAGACACAGCCTTGCAAAAAGATGGGCCCTGACCTTGGGGATATCTGGCGCCTTGTACATCCACTCGGTATCATTCTTGTTCCGATCTTGCGCCACCACAGCCGGGTACGGATCGTCCTTGAGCACGGCCAGGAGGGTGGCCTCAGCCATAGCGAGCGAGCACTGCGCTCGCAACGCCGCGGGCGAGATGTCGGCACAGGGCGGAGCCATCCCGTAGCCGCTACTGAGCCCTTCGGCCCGGAGCGCGAGGTAGTCGTAGATGGAAGCCGCATCGAGCAGGTTCTTGGTCGCGGCGCTGACGGCCACTTGACGCTGCTGGGTGCCGACGGGCGCCGTGGAGAGCACGTAGAGCGGATGCAGCGCGGTGCGGGCCTGCAGTGTGTGCGCGTTGGCGAGGCAGGAGAGCACAAAGAAGACTTCGTATTCGAGCGAGTGCACTTTGACGCGGGCGGGGTCTTTGCCGGGAACGGCGACGGCGGCGTTGTCAGATAAGGTGGGCCGCCATTCGATTACGGGCGCGGTCTTGAGGATCACGGCGATCTCCTCGCCGTTAATCGCCTGTTGGCTGAGGCCGGCATCGACGGCGAAGAGGTAGGGTAGGTAGGCTATGACGCTGGAGACGACGGTCGGGAGCTTTGCGACTTGGTGTTCGCGGGGGGTGCGCTTGAAGGCCTTGAGGTCTTCGCGAACAACGCCGCGGCGGGTGCTAGCATTGAGGGGCAGCGAGGGATGGGACTCGCAGCTGAAACAGGACGTAAAGGAAAATGACGAGGTCGTAGGCAACACAAATGGGTAAGGCATGGCGACTCTAGTCACAATTGGATTGTTATATCAGCAAATGGTCAGTCAGTCTTAATTCATTGCCGTGTTCCAAACTTCCAGTGTGTACGTGTGGTTGTGACGAAGCCCCTCCAGTCGTTGGCTGGCCAGGAAGGTTCTCAATATCGGATGGGGCCCGTTGGAGAAAGCCAGCTGCGTCACTTGTCGGCCCGCTGATTGACGAGGGGCTCTGACCGACATCCCCCGCTGCTTGACTACGTACCCTAGAAGCCAGCTGCTGACAGCCCGAGAAAGATGGCTCCCAGTTGTGAGCTTACTGCATAGTAGACTACACTACACAGCCCGTGTACCTAGGTTTTCCCCATATCGGCCCCACCCAAGAACCTTGTCGGCCGCCGCGACGCCAGATTGCTTGAAACGTTGGATGACATTTACGAATCCAGCGCCCACAATTTCCCCAAGCATCTCCCTACGGACATCTTCAATGCCGCCCTCCTTTCGACACAGTTCTGTTCGGTCTCGATTCCGGTAGCTATGGCCGGGCCCTCTCCTCATAAGCCCAGACGGAAAGCGAAGCGGGCTGGCGGCAATGGCCCAAGCAACCTTCCTGTCATTATGGAGCGCGAAGCTCTCGTCCGCATCCCTTCCTTTCCCCTGGCCGCCTTCCTCTGGCCTGCCAGGAGTTCTGTATCGCAATGGGAGTTGTTACCGTTGATACTCATGGTAGTTGGCCTGTTCCGCTGGGCTGCAGGTCTTTGGGGCTATTCTGGTACGTGATCAACCAGCCCCGTCTGGCGCGACCCGTGATTAGGTGTATACTCTAAAAGGCTGACAAATTCCGAAAACACAGGCTTTGAAAAACCACCTCTGTTTGGCGACTACGAGGCCCAGCGCCATTGGATGGAAGTCACAACACATCTTCCCATTTCGCAATGGTACTTTCACGATCTTGAGTGGTGGGGTCTCGACTATCCTCCTCTTACTGCATATCACAGCTGGATTTGTGGCAAGATTGGGTCCCTAATCGACCCGGCGTGGTTTGCGCTTCACGACTCGAGAGGCTCCCATGACCCGACGCTCAAGATATTCATGAGGGCCACCGTGCTGGTATCCGAATATCTAATCTATATCCCCGCCGCTGTCATCTTTGTGCGGCGCTTCAGTAGGCTCAGCGGTGTTCCTGCCTGGACCTCCTCCGTTGCTCTTGTGGCGATCCTGATGCAGCCGGCCACCATCCTTATCGATCACGTCCATTTCCAGTATAATACGGTTATGTTGGGCTTTGTGCTTGCTAGCATGTCAAGCATGCTTGCCGGACGCGACTTCTGGGCCTGTTTTTTCTTTGTTATGGCGCTGGGTTTCAAGCAGATGGCTCTCTACTATGCCTTCTCGGTTTTCGCATATCTCTTGGGAGTCTGCGTGTTCCACCATACCAACACCCCCAAATTCAATATCCCGAAATTCATTGGGATTGCTTTGGCCACCGTGGTGTCTTTCGCCATCCTGCTCCTCCCGATCGTTGCTGGCACTTTGTCCGAGGCCAGCCGCGGGATCACTGCCCATCCTGGCGGTGCTCATCCCCCTCTCCCGTTGTTTGCGGATCTGGCAAAGCACTTGAACACCGAGGCCTTCTACTACCCGGTCATCGAGCAGCTCGTCCAAATGATCCATCGCGTATTTCCTTTTGCCCGAGGTCTCTTCGAGGACAAGGTCGCGAACTTCTGGTGCGCCATGAACGTGGTGATTAAGCTCAAAAAGTATCCGGCCGAGATGCTGCAGAAGGGTGCGTTAGTTGCGACACTGGCAGCAATCGTTCCACCAAACCTCATCTTGTTCCTGCGACCCAACAAGCATCCAGGTCTCTTGCCCCTTGCCTTTGCTACAACCGCCTGGGGTTTCTTCTTATTTAGTTACCAAGTCCATGAGAAGAGTGTCCTTCTCCCCCTGATGCCTATGACCTTGTTGCTTGCAGGGAGACAAGGATTGGGCAAGGATACTCGTGCTTGGGTAGGATTTGCCAATATCTTGGGCTGTTGGACCATGTACCCGTTGCTACAACGAGTTGACCTCAGAGTCCCGTATACCGTCTTGACTCTTCTTTGGGCTTACCTTCTCGGTCTACCCCCGACGTCGCTGAATGCGTACTTCCAGGACGGCTCAAGCATCTGGAGTCAATGGGCCACCGCATTCATCCATGGCTTCTTTTACCTGACGATGGCGTTCTGGCATGTGCTGGACATGTTCGTTGTGGCCCCGAAGGACAAGCCAGATCTTTGGGTGGTTGCCAACGTTGGCGTTGGTGCTGCTGGGTTTTCGCTGTGCTATCTTTGGTGTCTCGGGAGCCTTGTCATCGAGAGTGAGATTCTACCCCCGTCTTGGACCGGCAAAGAAGCAAAAACGAAAAGTGAATAGAATAGGTAGGGGGGTAAATCCGTCACGGAAATTCGGCCGCCTCACACCCTACGCCATGGACTATATAAGCCGTTCCTATGGGTCAGCCTCTCTGCTATGACATATACACCGTGAGATATTGTTCGAATTAAATCTTCTCATCATATGCTTATTGATCGACATCTAAATTTACCTTGAGAAGTCTGGAAACAAAGGCCATGAGTTGGTTCTCTTCAGGCAACCAGAAGGCTTTGCACGGCGCGCACAAATACACTCCATGCTGTGTCATATGTATTGTGAACAAGGCGTGCATGTCTGGGAGAGGAGACCCATTCTACCACCCCAGCCCGATCCTTGAACTCAAGCAAGCCGACAGACACTGCCATGTGTACGTGCCTACAGGCGCACAACTTGTGGCGAGTTTGAGGATCAGTACTGCAGCGGGAAGGACGGAGTAGTGTACACGGCAGCAGCGGGGAGTGTCACAAGCATGCCAGAAGACTGACACGACTGGTCATTGATCATGGTGCGCCAGCCGCCATGTTAGCTTCGTCCATTTCACACTGGTGTCGTGGGGGCCACGTTGGGCCGGATGCGGGAACGTCAGCAGCGTTTCTCCGGGTGGCTTTTGTGGAGGCTTGTCGAGCAGGGGCTGGATTCTTTTTCGGGATGTTGGAACTTGTAATCGATATTCTCAGCCGGACTCCCTGACGCAATAACCAAGAAGGCTATCGGGAGAAGGACCGTTTTTTTCATCAGGAGCAGACAGGCCGGCCTGGCATGTTCGCGATTCATTGAAGAAGTCGGGCTGACAGAGTGTCGCTTGCCGCGGAACAGATCAGAGAGAAACTGCATGGGCTGGACGTTGGCTACGGTCAGCCAGTAAACGCTCACCTCGCCCCCGTTTGAAGAATTCCGGCATCCTGTCGGTGCAGGGTAGTCCCCGATGAGAGATGTAAGGCTGAAGCTCGTTTAGAACCCCCCTCCCCAGGAATAGCCATGCTAGACAAATCTAACAGATGCCCAGGTCGAGGAAGTCCAGGGTTTCAGCTTCATTTTCAGCCCTCTAGGGAGTGGTCAATTTCCCCCACATCCTTTGAATATTCAGCCCAGACACGGTGTCGACACCCAATCAGAAACAGGACACGCGAAGGTTAGACTTACCCCATGGGTGAGATGCAAGATAAGCCAACCTTCCACATTGGACGACACTTGTCTGTCGTTGGTGTTGTTATGCAGAGCTAGGTCGAGTTTGTTGTCACAACATCTCTCTCATTCGCCCTCTTGTAACCTTTCGTGCAGTCATGTCCGTACGAAAGCTTCGTGGCGTACATTTCCACCTCCTGTCGTCGCTTTACAATTCTACCGTCAGAGCCTTTCAACCTTCCGTCGTGTATACTGTGACTGGATGTTAACGACCCAAAAGACAGGCTGGACGCCGTGGACGGCATGAACGGCCTGGAGGGGCAGACTTGGTGGCAACAGTGAATTATCGTGTTGAACGTCCTCATGACCAGGAAAGATCCGACGAGGCCTCGTGGGACGGGTTGTTCCTGTCTGGCCTTCCCTCGGAGGCGTTCCCAGATTTTGAACTCAATCCTTTGACCTAGGTCGATAATGGTGTGTCTAGCTTGGCCACTCGTCCATGTCCTTTGTCTCTTCATTCTCGGATACCGGTCTCACGAACGGCAGACAGTTTCCTTTGTAGGACCACCCTCCACAAGCACGCAATACTGGTTTCATGTTTCTTGTAACGAAGGTTGTGCTTCATAAGACTTGGGACATGCCCGTTCTAAGGTCTATCATGTTGATGATTTAGTTGCTGCCGGACAGTGATCAGTAAAATAACTACTCGGTATCAGCCATCAATCACTCGTTTAGTCACCCCTCTCCGGGCATCACAGTTCGCTCGACTGACCATCTCGCCCTCGGTCTATTGATACCGGAATCCTGTGAGCTGCATCTCCCCGCTCAATTCCCACGGCCCAGCCCACCCAAGTCGATAGCAGAAGTTGCACTGTATCCGTTGCAAGCTTGTTCCTACCGGTTTGTGGCTGTGGACACACTCCATTCAAGAGGCTGCCCTATCTCGCGTTCTTTATCTGAGGGTCTGTACCATCCCCCCAGACTTTAGAACTTTTTTTCTTTCCCCTTCCGCCCTCCTTCATACGAATACTCTCGTCTGGAAACCCTATCGCCAGGAAGGACTTGCCTGGCGGAGATCGACAACAACAACAACATGTACGGATCACGTCTGTTCGTCGGGGCGGCCACTGCCGCCCTCTCGATAACAGCGGCGGCACAGATTTTCAGTACCAACCCGATCCCGTCCGCAGTTGCACCGAGTACGTTCGTCAGCAGCCAAGCGTCGTCTACTAGCTCCTCGACATCCATCTCCGCAACACCCACGAGGGCAGCGGGTCCAAACGTCATTGTTATCGAGGTGGGAAAAGTAAGTCATTATTGACGAGCGTCAAAGATCCAAGCAGCAGTGACTTACCATATTTATAGCATGGGCATATTTTCGAGCCACACGAAGTGACTGGTGCCAAGAAAGGCGATGTCATTCGTACGTTACCCTTCGTGAAATCCGACTCAAGAAGTGTGCGATTTGATCAACCCACTAACGTTAAAGCTGGGTAGGCTTCAATTTTTATCCCACGGGTCACTCTGTTGCACGAGCTGAATTCGAATTTCCATGTTTCCCTTGGGAACTCTACCACCCTAATGAGGCCGGGATGTGGTCCAGCGGCGAGAATTATACTGACCCCGAGAGCTTCGATAAAGTAAGTTGATAGATTTCCAAGCATTATGACGGCTACTTGATCATGGCGTTGACAAAATCACAAAATAGCCCCTTGAATGGCAGTTCACACTTGACACTGAAGAGCCCATGTTCTTCTACTGCTCCGCTCGTACTTCCTGTTCAACTCATAAAATGATCGGTGTCATCAACCCTAATGCTACGCATTCATGGGATGCCCAACGGAAGTACGCAGAACAAGTGACATACGATCTAAAGCCGGGAGAGACATGGAAAGCTGAAGATCCAAATTATGGAAAAACAGATGGAAGCAAAAAGTCGGGCCTTAGTGCCGGAGCCATCGCGGGAATCGCCATTGGCGCGGCCGCCGTGGTAGCCATTGCCGCTGCCTTGGTCTTTTTCTGCGGTCGAAGGGGAGGGTTTCAAAAGGCCTATCGCAAGAGCGCCATTCATCCGCCGGCACCCGCTACCGATGCCGCTGGTGCTCCGACCATGGTAGAGGCACAATACCACAACCAACACAATCCAGCCAGCCCTGTCCCGACACCGGCAGGCCTGAAGAGTCCCGGCCAAGCCAGCTTCACGACCTTCTCGACTTATCCACACATGGACCCCAGTGACCCGTATCGAAGCATGACGGCGAGCCCTCAGCACCCTCCATACCCATATGGAACTCCCCCACCACAGCAAAACCCTGTCTCGCCGGGATCTGTTTATGGATACAATACTTATAATGGACACGCAATGTCCGCGCCTGGGAGCGCGCCTGTTCCCGGGCCCAACTCGCCTCTCATGATTGGAGAACTCAGCTCGTAAGTTATATGTTTCCACAGATGAGAACCGAAAGGCAGTTAACCAAGATTCATTCATGCTTCAAGGGTTCCTCACTCGCGTGATGTTAATTATCAAGCTCCGGTCGAGCTTCCAAGCGGAGACGGCACCTCAGTCAGGCCTCCGTCGACGATGCCGGGATCGCCTCCTCCGCAATATGAGAGCGGGAGCAACGAAGGTGCCAAACAGGGTTGGACAGTTGGTGAGGAGAATCAATTTCAGAAGCGATGAGTGGTAATCTGATTTTGGGGCTGTCAACTGGAAGTTGCTTAACGAATGAAGGACTATAAATGGCACAGAGAGAATCAATGGGAGCGACAATAGGCAAACCTATGCCATGTGTGACTCGAACTCAAATTACGTGATGGCTGCGTTCTAAAAACATATATGGCTGCTGTTGAGTGGAAATCTGTCAATGTTTTGTATTACCTAGTTTTTGGTATCCCCAAGCTGAATCAAGGACACTTGCTCGATATTGTCGTTTTGATCACTATCAGAGCCTTCGCAACCATACACCACGGCGATTGACTGTCCTCCTCGAGATTTACATCCTTACATATCTACGCACAGATGACTTACCCAACTTCCAAACCCAAGTTAACGCCTTACTTAATTCAAGCTAACTTCTCTAAACCAAAACCATACCGTGCCCCTCCGACCCTGCGCACCACCATCTAGACCAACAAAGTTTTAGCCACACCAAACTCAGAAACGGTTCACCAAATCCGGGGAATCGGTCCGTCAGGCAGCTACCACACAAAGAAACGGGCCCTGTCCCGTCCTCATCCTTTTCCCGTTTGTTGCCCCTCCCTTTGTTCCCTCGCGTTCCATGGGGCCTAGGAACCAGTCAGTAGGAGGCAAACTTATGAACAGGTTTTCTTCTACAGGGCCCCGTGGATATAGGGAGAGAGGGGAGAGGGGGCGTGAGTATGTCTTTGTTTGATTTCCATGCTTCCCGTCTTCTTTTGACTCGCTCCCTTGTGGTTGGCCAGCTGATAGGCCTTTTGGCCGAGGAGTTTGAGGAGAGTTTAAGCTTAATTGAGACATTATCAAACCAACATTTCTTGACCTTCTTGACACGCTTCAGGGTGAATGTGGTAAGTAAGGTATCGTTGATGAGAAATGCTACGCGCACTACAAGATTTGCCTACGCGCACCCCAAGTTGGAGAAATATACTCGATGACTTTCAGCCACAACGGTCAGATTGCTATGGAATGTGGTGAAAAGCACGCAAGTGGCACTCAATATCTAGCAGTACCTTTTTCTTCTTCTTTTCTTCTTTATTTTTTCGCGCCTATTTTCCCTTGAACTGACCGTTGAATCTCGTACTCACATTCATCGCGCTGGTCCTTGCGACCAAAATCACGCATAGCCACGTTACGACCTTCAAATACGCCGGAATGATGGTAACAATTTTAATTGGCAGGGCTCAACCTACTAGACTAGCTTTGTCGATACCAGTTCTAAAATACATGGTGAAGTTATGGTTATAACAAGCCCGTACAGATCTGGTGCTTGGGGTGCGTGTAGGATTTTTCCTCGGAGTACGCGTGGGTCTTTTCCCTGATAAGTGTGGTTTCTGAGTAGTGATAGACTCTGGTTCGGCAGGTGATAGGGATTCGAGGATATGCGACTGGCGATGCTAGAGGGTTTACCTTTTGGAAATGTTGATGGGTTGTAAGTCTGTCAGAACTTCGCTGTAAATGATTTAGCTTGAGCGCTTCAGAACACCGAAAGCCATCGAAGTGAAGGTCTGGCTTGAAGTCTTTCAATTCTTGGTAAATCAAAGTGAGAAGGAATCCAACCGGACCTCTCGCCATCACCGTAAATAGTCAAGTCCTGGCCCCCCAACTCGATGCCGACGTCGCCGTCATGCCGGATTGCGGCAATGGGACAAATTAAGGTTGTGCCATTGGAGTCGAGCATGCTTCCCATGCGTTGGACACGACAAGACAAACTACCGAGTCCCGTTCCTCACCGAACCGGGCCTAGCGGACGCATGTGTGGATCGGAGGACGACCTTGCCGGCCCGTAATGGAAGCTGAGAAGGCATTGACCCCTGCACTTGTCTGGTATACTCGACCTTGTCAGCATCGTCGCTCGGCTGGGAAAAAAAAACCTGAAGAGCTTCCTAATTCGTAGTGTAGTCTGATCGGGCTGTTGCATTGAGGAGGGCCCTTGCGCAGTTCTGACTTTTTTGCAGCGGGGTCGCGGTAGCATGTTTACTGAATGTTAAGATCGAGGTGAATAGGAGTCAGGAGAAGTGTCAGACACGACGATGAGGCTCCTTTTTTTTCGATCTTGAAGCTATTTCTCGTCTCCAAAAGGGGGAAATTCGGATCAGATCGCACTTTCCAAACAGTCGAGATTCGAGAAAGCTAAACCCAGTCGCAGCGTGGGGTCTTTGGCGATCCATCGCTTCCGAGGCTCCATTCTTCCCGTGCCAAAAACAACGGTTGGTTCGTGCGCTCGCTCGCAACAGGCCAGTCCAGCTGGGTGACCTTGGATGCTCGGGCACTCCAGCAGGCAGGGCAACTCGAAACACCGGAAGGTTGACCCGTCGGCCAAGAGTAAGGGACCCACAGTTGCCCGCTGTGTGTATTTCCGTTTGGAGGATACTTCATTTTCAGGAGTGGCTGTTACTGCAATCTATGTACTTTGTAACATAGGCCCCCATCACCTTGGCAGCTTCTCGATGAGGCACTTGCAGGAAATCACGGAAAGACATTTGGTTAAGGACACAGTTGTATGTTAGGTAAGGTACCTGACTGACCTCACCACCGGGCACTTCCATCTTCAAATCCACCTTGCCTTCAATTGCATCTTCCACCTCTTCAGCTGTCAGTCGGACCTTGAACCTTCACCACCAGGTCTCAATCCGAAAGCTGCTGCGCCTGAATCGAAACGAGGGCCCATCTTCCACTCTCAACCTGAACTTGTACAAGCTCGGTCCCGCATTTATTATTGCTCTCTGGAGTCACCCTGAGCTGGAACCCTCCGTCATCACTCCCATTTCTCGGCGCTCATCCCTCCACAAAACAACACCAACCTGGTTTCGCGATCCAGGAGCAACACCTGCGCTTGACAACGTCTCGAATTCCGACGCCATACTCAGTTGATCAACCAGACCAGACGCGATCGCACCTCACGCAATGGCGCAAATGCGGGGACCCGGCAGCTATGGCATTGGTGCCTCGAGCCCTTTCGGAGGACCCGTCAACGAAGACTCGACCGAGTCCAGCCCTCTCGACGCAATTCGGAAGCAGACGAGCAAGATTGAGGACGTCCTGGATTCTTTTAGTGAGCCCATCAAGCCGTATGTCAGACCTGGTCGAGGGACGTCTTCTACTGCACGTTAGGGTGTTGCTGCTGACCGAATGGTGGTGTACACAGATACCTCCCCGCCATTGGCCGCTTTTTGATTGTCGTAACCTTCATCGAGGATGCGCTCAGAATCATGACACAGTGGAACGACCAGCTGCTGTATCTTCACGACTATCGCCATAGTATGTGCCCTTCGACGGTCCATTAGTCTGCACCTTGCGCACAGCTAGCCAAGCATTTACTAATCATGGATATCCTCCAGTTCCCAATGGCGTCACCCACCTCTTCCTTCTCGTCAACGTTATTGCTATGGCCTCCTGCTCCACCCTCGTCATCATCCGCAAGTACTCTGAGTATGCCGTCGGCGGTCTCATTGGCGTTGTCGTCACCCAGGCGCTCGGTTACGGACTCATCTTCGACCTCAACTTCTTCCTCCGCAATCTCTCTGTTATGGGCGGTCTGCTTATGGTGCTCTCGGATTCATGGGTGCGCAAGACCAAGGCCTTTGCCGGTCTCCCCACGCTCGAGGAGAAGGACCGCAAGATGTACTTCCAGCTTGCTGGCCGTGTCCTCCTCATCTTCCTCTTCATCGGCTTCGTCTTCAGCGGAGAGTGGACCATCTGGCGTATCATTGTCTCACTCGTAGGCCTTGTTGCTTGCGTTATGGTTGTTGTCGGCTTCAAGACCAAGTTCAGCTCTACTCTTTTGGTTGTCATTCTGAGCATTTTCAACCTTCTGGTGAACAACTTCTGGACTGTAAGTGATTTCTCTTCTAACGGACACAGCTCTGTTTTGGTCTTAATAAATCGAACCGCTGCTAACCGTGTGCCATTGTAGCTTCACGAGCATCATCCTCACAAGGACTTCGCCAAGTACGACTTCTTCCAGATTCTCTCCATCGTCGGAGGTCTCTTGCTCCTCACCAACACTGGCCCGGGCCAGTTCAGCATTGACGAGAAGAAGAAGGTTTACTAAGGGGTCCGAAAGAGGAGGTGAAGGGGAGAAGGATCTGCGTAGGGGTACATGAGAATCCCTTGCTGATTCGAGCTCGGCAATCAGAGCCAAGCAAGGGTGTTGTCTACATGGGTTTGGAAGCGAAACGAGCAAATGGAGACATGATGGGTATGGCCCGCCACGCCGGTCAATGCTATGTGGAGGGTGATTCGAATCTCATTTGGGAGTTGAAAATACGTCACGGGTACCTAGGAGAAAGTCAGGAATGGGTTATGTGATGTGGTATAATTTTGATCATTAGCGGCGTATAATCCTTTTGGCTGTCTCTATCTGTATGACGGTTCTCATGGTGTGGAAATTTTGAAAACAAGGCGTTTGTTGCAATGCTCGAAATAGTCCTGAGATGAAAAGAAAGGTTTCTTCGTAGTGGTTGAGATTTTCCATCGAACCGATGATGGACCGGAATTTCGCTTCAGATCTCACTCAAATCAGGACTACGTTTCTTCGATACGTTCATGTACGATACTTCCGAGGGTAGTACAATTCGTGTCACTCGAGTGGCCATACATACCGAACACGTCGGATTCGCTACACTTCTGGGATGGCCTTCACGTATCACGCAATTCGTCTTAAAGTAGTCTTCCCAAAATTGAGAGGCATTTCATGGATTCATGGATCAATGCATCCTAGAAAGAATCAAGTTCAAGTAGTCCAAGCTTGTCCCAAGACATCTTGCTGTTATGCCACAGCCTTTCATCGCAAGTGACAGGTACTGTACGCAACAATTTGATTCATACAAGCCCGCCTGTCCGGCCGATCTTAGTGGGAAACGTGCAAAAAGTGTGTCATATGTATTATCATGATATATATAGGTACATATATAAAATTCTTAAAACATTTTGGGAAAAAAAGCAAAGCAGCTAATAGCTAGGTAATAATGGTCACTAGATAC